ACAAGGCATGATAGCCTACTCCAAATTACTTAAACGCAAACCAGGATTTTACCATGCATATATATATATTATATATATATATATATATATATATATATATATATATATATAATTAATACGTATGCATGGTAAAATCCTGGTTTGCGTTTAAGTAATTTGGAGTAGGCTATCATGCCATGTGAATATTATTATTTTTTTCTACATATAAATTGAAGTAGCCTACTGTACCATGTTTTTTTTGTGAAGCATTCTACATTGGCCTGCAACTTACTTCTAAGTCTGTTAAAAAAATGATGACAGTGTGTGAATACAACAAAACATCCTGCTTTCACTTGATTTGCATTTTCAGCATGAATCTCCCTCGGAGCAGATGGCCGTTCGCTAAAGAATACGAGCGTTCAAGCCACATTCACCATCGCTGACATTATCTGGACCCATCTGAATCCCTGCCCGCCAAATGCCCGAGCCAGTCCCGTCAGAAAGCACGCCCCTCATCTCAGTCCGAGCATCACGCGAAGGCCAAACAGCACAAAGCTTGCAGGTGGCGGCGAACATCCATTCCGGCATATTGGCAGAGGATCTGATCTAAACGGCTTTGTATGGTCGTGATGTTGAACAGAGGGCACCATGTGTTTTATCAACCTGAGTGGAAAAACGCTGTATGTTTGTCCATCCTCATAGCGAAAAACGGGAAATAACTTTTAGGACGGCCATATTTTGTTTCAGCAGAACGCTCTGCCATAATACAGCGGCAGATGGGCGACACCGCTGTGCGAGATCATTGGTGTTCTGTAGATGTTTTTTGATTTCTGTGGCTCGTTTAGCATTTATGGCGTTTCTGCCGGGAATGAGGCGGATTCCATCATGTGCAATGACCCAAAAACCGCTGACTTTTTGCGCACTACAGCTGGTGAAAGCGATCGGCGCATTCGTGTAGTAATGTTCCCTGTGGTGTCGCATTTACACACACACTCAAATCATAATTAAATCTTAGAACCGTGACTGAGTTACAGCTCTAAATGGGATGCAAATGCGATGGATGCAAAAAATAGACGTTTAGGCTCATGTATACATGGAAATGCATGTTTGGGAGTCACTGTCGGGAATTGGTTTGGTTTATTTTAGAGATAATTTTCAAATGTAAATGCTAAGATTACGTGTTGCAATGCAAGAAGAGCCAGCAATCGAGAAGCCAACTTGTGAAGACTTTAATGCAGAACGTTAGACATTAGGCGTTCATGGTCTAAAATGTAGGCTAAACATTTAATCATATAGGCCTACCTAGTGATTCCGAAGAACTACAATCTGAGTCTTTAAAAAAAGCCAGAAAAAAAACAAATATTTATTTATTTAATTAATTAAATTATTTATTTTAATTACAAGAAAGTTTTCCCAAATTAATTTATTTGACTAAACCCATTAACCCTAATTTTAAAGAAACATTTTAACTTGGATTTGAATCAACAACATACAAAAAAAGTGCAATAATTATACAATGGTTTTTAAAACATGCATCATGGCAATACCATGGTATTCTTTGTAGTAGTATGTAAATGTTATTGCATAAAATATGGTTAGCATTCAGTAAGAAAATATTTGTTATTATATTATTATTTTATTATTTATATATTTTTTTTCAAATAACTTTTTTAATAAACTTTGTTTATTTTTAATTATTTTTAATGGATTAAAAATTGTGTGTGTGTAGATAGATAGATAGATAGATAGATAGATGGATAGATATATAATGTATGTGTCAGAGAGTCTCTGTCACCAGTCACCAGCTCTGGACTCCATGTCCCAGAATCCTCCCTGGCTTACACCCGTTTGCAGTCACGATCCCCACTCACACCAGATCACACTCACCTGTATTCTGATCACCTGCACCTGCCGTCTCCAATCAAGCCGCCTTCAAGAACACGCTCCTCACAGTCTCTCATCGTCCGGTCTACAGTTCACTTCCATGAACTATACCAGACTCCTTGTATGCTACTTACCTGTGTATACTATTCCCTAGATCCTCTGATGATCCTCCGACGATCCTCCTACTCCGTGTTTCCTCGTTGCTGGCCAGCAATCTTTGACGATCCTGCAAAAGACATATATTCTTCATTGCTCAGCTAAGAACCTTTGAACTGTCTCAAGTGCTTCAAACTCACCTGCCATTGAACCTTACGAT